ATGCCAAGTTACCGCACCTGACCATAAGACGCACCTAGGTTTTAGAGGCAGAAAACAGGAAAAAAAAAAAAAATTCTGAACTAATGGACTGCAGACACAGTACAGGAGATGACCAGAGACTGCGGACAGCACAGGGATGACCAGAGACTGCGGACAGCACAGGGATGACCAGAGACTGCGGACAGCACAGGGATGACCAGAGACTGCGGACAGCACAGGGATGACAAGAGACTGCGGACAGTACAGATGACTGCTGACCTTTGGGGAGGTGGGGAGCGGGTACCTGAATTTGACAGGTACCCGCTCTTACTTCCGCAGTTGTTCTTTGATCTTACCTGTTCCTTGATCCAGCCGCGCGCTGTCTTCCCGGCTTCTGTAATGGAGCTCGGCATGACAGCCGGGTGCCCAGTGCGCATGAGCGAGAAGCACTTGCGCTTTGTGATTGGTCCGGCGGCTTCTGGGATCTGTCATGTGTCCCAGGTACCGCCTTACCATTCACAAAAAGCACTGCTTCTTGCGCATGCGCACTTGGCACCCGGCTGTCATGCCCAGCGCCCACACTACAGAAGCCGGGAAGACAGCGCGCCGCTGGATAGAGGAACAGGTAAGGTCCCGCTGCAGAGCTGAGCGGCCGGCCCGGTTTTCTGACAGGGCCGCGGTGGAAATACCGGACCGGCCGCTTCATATTCGCTCCATAAGACACACTGACACACTGACATGGAGGGCCGTATTAAACCGACCCTCGGGCCGTGATTGGCCCGCGGGCCGGACTTTGGACATGCCTGCTCTAACAGTTTAACTGCAGCTGTCCATAGCTGCTCTAGTGTATTTATGAATTCTAGTGACAAACAGAGTATCTCTGTACTAGTGTAATTATTTCACATGTAGAGTGCCAGATAGCTAGGTCTGTGCTACTGTTTGTATGTAGTGGTCACCTTCCAATATATTATTGGTGAACCTGTTAATTGCAATAGAGTTTATATGCAGCTCCTGTTATTCTAGTAAACACTGTCTCTTCTGTTCTGGGATTCTATGGCTAGTTTTAGTTTAGGGATTGATAACAAGCATAGACTAGAGCCAGGTGAGACATCTGATGGCCACTTCTGGATCATTACCTTAGAGTTCTGGTTGCACATCAGATTAGAAACTACTAGAGGGGGAAGCACAGAGGAGATAGGCTAACTTGGAATTGCAGGGCCACAATTCAGTGCCACACCACAGTTCCTGCTTACGAGAAGCTCCGCTCTAGGCTGGTTGGACAACAGCTGGAGGACCTCCCCATGACCACAGATCTTGTCTTCAGGTCTCAGACACAAAGACAGATGCCACATCATTCTAATGGGCCCCGGCAACTGGACTTTGCCTCAATGTTCATTTTGATGGTATTTCTATTAATACCTTTGTATTCCTGGGTATATGTGCACAAATCCACCGGGACTCCTATCAGACCCTTTACTGATAATACCTGTTTGTACACTGAATATATGTACTCTTGTTTATCTCTTCTTACATAAAGTTTGTATTATTCCTATACTGGTATTTATCTATATACAGTACATATGGTTAAGGTTATTTGCTGGTTGCAGTAGTTCTGCTTCCAGTTACTTTGATTAGATTACTGAATACATTTCCAGGAAGGGAAGCCCTCTTTTCACAGGTTTGGATTACTTTATACAATTATTTTCTGACACTGGGTCTATAAGATGCTATCAATACTATTTACCACTGTTGACCCAATGAGCCGGAATGATAAACTATTGCTATATATGCCAACTAATCATCTACTGTATGTATATGGTGGACCACCTGTACACTCAGTCTTTCCAATAAAGTAAAACCTATTAAAAAAAATTACACGAATTGAAGTAGAAAAAGTGTACTTTTGATCTTAAAAGATAAATTATTTTTTTCAAGGCAATATCCCTATAAGAAAACTTTGTTCCAAAAAATATGACCTTTTCATTTAAAGTAATAAATAAAACGGCTCATAGCATAAAGGTAAAAATTGCTCTAGCCCATAAGTGGTATACAGATACGAGAGCTGAAATGGTAAAATCTTTCTCATCTCCTCAGGGGTTTACATTATCTCAGTTCATTATGGGTAGTTTCATGCCAGCAAGCTCCACTTCTTTCTAGGCCAGTAGTAAAATGTAGGTTGCATACTGTATTTACTGTTCTTTGTTATTTCCAGCTTCTGACACTGATTTTCTGACGTAACATTTCTGTATTTGGCATTTGGAGACAAAACACACTGTAGCATTGTATATGCAGGAATTCTGCATTTGTGGCATACATCTCTGAACGCATACAGCCCTACACAAGTGTTCCAGAAGCTGCATATTTTAGTCTGTCATAGATTTTGACTGGCTGTGGCAGTGGGGCAGAACCAGGGGCGGACTGACCATTTGGAAACTCGGGCACTGCCCGAGGGCCTGGGGTCAGTAGGGGGCCCCATGAGATGCCCCTGGTACCTTTTTCATAGGCTTTTTTGAGTTTGGGCAAAGGCACAGGGGCCTCATGATCCCCTATTGCCCGGGGGCCCCATGAGTTGTCAGTCCGCCCCTGGGCAGAACGCTGCATCTGTGCCTCCTGGGGCACATGAAAATGCTGGGATTTAACACCAATTGACCAAACTGCCTACATTTGTGTTCAAAAGTTTGCATACCCTGGCAGAAATTGTGACATTTTAGCATTGATATTGAAAATATAACTGCTCATGCCAAAAAACTGTCTTTTATTTAAGGATAGTGATCATATGAAGCCATTTATTATCACATCGTTGTTTGGCTCCTTTTTTAAATCATAATGATAACAGAAATCACCCAAATGGCCCTGATCAAAAGTTTACATCCCCTGGAATGTTTGGCCTTGGTACAGACACACAAGGTGACACGCACAGGTTAAAATGGCAATTAAAGGTTAATTTTTCACATCTGTGGCTTTTTAAATTACAATTAGTGTCTGTGTATAAATAGTCAAAGAGTTTGTTAAGTCTCACGTGGATGCACTGATCAAGCTAGATACTGAGCCATGGGGAGCAGAAAAGAACTGTCAAAAGACCCGCATAACAAGGTAATGGAACATTATAAATATTGAAAAGGATATAAAAACATATCCAAAGCCTTTAATTGGCCAGTCAGTACTGTTCAATCACTAAGAAGTGGAGAATTCAGGTGTTCTCTTGATACCAAGCCAAGGTCAGGTAGACCAAGAGAGATTGCAGCCACACCTGCCAGAAGAATTGTTCGGGATACAAAGAGCAACCCACAGGTAACCTCAAGAGAAGTACAGGCTGCTCTAGAAGATGGTATGATTGTTTAAAGAATCACAATACAATGATACTTGAACAAAAATGAGCCGCATGGTCGAGTTGCCAGAATGAAGCCTTTACTGCGTCAATGTCACAAAAAAGCCTGGTGAGGCATGTCAAGGTGTTGTCGAGCATATTGTAACCGGGCTTTTTGTGGCATTGCTGCAGTAAAGGATTCTTTCTGGAAACTCGACCATGCAGCTCATTTTTGTTCAAGTATCGTCGTATTGTACTCCTTGAAACAACCACGCCATCTTTTTCCAGAGCAGCCTGTATTACTCCTAAGGTTACCTGTAGGGTTTTCTTTGTATCTTGAACAATTCTTCTGGCAGTTGTGGCTATATACTGTAGATATCAGATATATCTCATGGTAGGGCCACTTTAGTTGCACAAATTTTATACTTCTTACCCTCATACAGGAGAGTTGTCATACATGCAGGTTTGCACAAACTTAAAATATCATTATTGTCACAGAATCTGCATTTCTGATGAAAGCATGAAATAAACAGGAAGAAAAAATGCCATTCTTAATGACATGTTTACCATATGCATCCTGAAATGTAAGGTTTTCACAGGATATTCAGGGCTTAACAGATCATGCCTTTTCATCCTTCTTCTTCAAAGATCACACAGCACTACTCAAATCTGTACTTATGTTTTCCCCAACTGGTCTTATTCGAGGGATCACAAAAACATGTCATACTATACAAAGATAACTAAAGAGTTGTGTGAATCTGATCAAAAAATGGGTGATGCTAATATTAAGCATCCTTTATTTGTCATAACAAATTTGACATTGATTTATTCAGAATCAGATAACTAATAATTAACAGTTTTTAGACACCCGTAGACAGAGTCGTATGTCGATCATATTGCTCAGGTCAGTGGTTCTCAACCTTTGTGCAACCAGGGTCTGGTAAATTCTTTTGAAAAGATTCCGTGCCCCAACAATTCAAATCAGACTCATAGAACAAATGTATAGGAATGCAAAATATGTATTTAAAACCTAAGCGTAGCTATAATTATAAAAAAAAAAAGTCAGCAGCAGCATACCTTACAGTCAGTAGGATGTGTCCCTTGTGCTGATTTCTCGTCTAATAACTGAACTCCTCCTCCATTTGTGCCCTCCACCCCACAATCTTCTGGTGCAATCCATGAATGGAACATGATCTATGAATGGAGGACAAGAGGATGATTGACAGGTCCACCCCCTTCATTCAGAGAACCTGTGCCATTCATAGTAGCTGTAGTACATCTTCTATGAACGGCTCAGCTAGGTGGAAAGGGCATATTTGGGGTCTCTTGATTAGAGCCTGTGACAACCCTTCAGTTGTGTTAACCCCCTCCACACCAAAAAATTACAATGACAGGGGTGGGAGGGGGTGGGGTGGGGGGGGCAGGGACAGTTTAGGATTTTGCCAAAAACAAATGGAAACAGCACAAATGACACATCCTACTGTTTGTAAGCCATGTTCCTTGTGCTGATTTGTCCGTTTTTAACTGTAGCTACACTTGGGTATTACAGTGTATTTAAATGGGAGCAATCAGTTGAAAATATGAGTTACTTTAATTAACTACTTGCCGACCGCAGATAGTCGAATGACAGCTACACTGCGGCCGGCCAGTTCTGGGTGGGCGTCATATGACATCCTCCCAGAACGCGCTCCAATGACACACTGATCACCGGGAAATGCAATTGCTGGTTCTCGGCTGCACTGTCAGATCGTGAGGAAAGTACTGCCGAGAACCGGCAGTTGTTAGAGCAGGGATCGGCACCGATCATCAGGGTACTGATGATCAGTGCCCTGATGATCGGTGCCCAGCAGTGCCACCCACAAGTTCCGCCCACCTGTGCCCAGCAGTGCGCCCACTAGCTCCGCCCACCTGTGCCCAGCAGTGCACCCACCTGTGCCCAGCAGTGCACCCACCTGTGCCACTCTTCAGTGCCACCTACCTGTGCCCAGAAGTGCCACCTACCTGTGCCCAGCAGTGCCACCCACCTGTGCCCATTAGTGCCACCCACCTGTGCCCAGCAGTGCCACTCACCTGTGCCCACCAGTGCCACCCACCAGTTCCCATCAGTGCAGCCCAGCAGTGCTGCCAGTCAGTGCCACCAGTCAGTGCCCAGCGGTTGTGCCAGTCAGTGCCCAACAGTGCCGCCAGTCAGTGCCCAGCAGTGATGCCAGTCAGTGCCACTTATCAGTGCTCTCTATCAGTACCCATCATCAGTGTCGCCTATCAGTGCCGCCTATCCGTGACACCTCATTAGTGCTGCCTATCAGCGCCGCCTATCCGTGCCACCTCATTAGTGCTGCCTATCAGTGCTGCCTATCAGTGCCCATCAGTGCCGCCTATTAGTGCCCATCAGTGCTGCCTCATCAACGCACATCAGTGAAGGAGAAAAATTACCTGTTTGAAAAATTTTATAATAGAAACAAAGAAACTTTTTTCAAATTTGTTGCACTTTTTTGTTTATAGCGCAAACAATAAAGTGCCCAGCAGCAATTAAATACCACCAAAAGAAAGCTCTATTTGTGAGAAAAAAATGATAAAAATTTCATGACAGTGGTTCTCCACTCACTCTGCTATCCTCTCTGTCCTGAATGGGCCTGAACACTACCAGAGATCCTCACTGCCTCTCGCTGAGCCTTTCCCCCATACATGTAAAATCATCAATGGTCCACTTATCTGTAGTGCCCTGCCAAAAGTTAGCCTAAGTCTAGGTTTTTTATGTCACTGAAATGTTCTGTTTTTTTGTCTGGTCTGGTCAGCGTTTCCCTAAGGTCAGTAGTTGATTGCGCCTGTTTGCTTCTGTAGGAAGCTTCCAGAAAATAGAACAAGAGGGTCAACCACTGATTCATGAATATTTATCAGACCCCAGCCAATCCCTGGGAAGGGTCACCCAGAAGAAAATAAAATGGGATGCCCATTCAGAGCGTTCTTGTCCGGGGACTGCTGCCCGTGGAATGTAGCCATTATACTGGGGGCGCTGTTTGGGCCTCATCAGGTGCTGGGCTGAGGGTCTGGACAAGATATGCTAAAAGGATTTTTGCTGGCATCACCTTGGAGCCTGGTCTGGAGAAGGATCTGTCCTCCTGTTGATTTCTGCTATTGTTAAACTGAACCCTTAAAGTGATTGTGAACCCATAATTAAAAAACTAAAAAAAAATTGACATACTTACCTGCTCTGTGCAATGGTTTTGCACTGAGAAGCCCTGATTCTCCTCTTCTTGGGTCCCCCCCTCCCCCCTGCTGAGTGCCCACCATAGCAAGCCAATTGCTATAGGGGCACTTGTGCAGAATCACTCCTGAGCTGCATTCTATGTTTCCATTGACACCCCCTGCTCCCTTCTCATTGGCTGTGCTTAACAGCCAATAGGGGAGCCAATAGCCTGTGTTATCGATCTGCTTGGAACTGTGACTGTGACAGGCAGCCTTTGTACTATCAAGGGAGACCTGGGCATCTTCTCAGCAGCTCCTGCGGGGCATAGTGCTACACACCCTGCCGTCATCCCACTCCTGAACAGGCTGGAATCTCTGTTGTCTCCCATTTGCCTTCCTTGAAGGGAGCCACTCTTCCTATTGACCATCAATGTAACTTGTAAATGTAAGTGTATTTTTCCCACTGCCTCACAGTGAACTGGTTTTAGTAAGGGTTCCGATCCATTACGCACCCCAATCCGCAGATCCGATCCATCCTGCGGGGATCGTCGGCATGCAACCTATATGGGGTGACACCGGACCCGCTCCACAAAAAGGTAAGTTGTACAGCAAGCTGACGATCCCCGCAGGATGGATCGGATCTGCGGATTGGGGAGCATAATGGATTGGACTCCGATCCATTATGCTCAATCCGCAGATCCGATCCATCCTGCGGGGATCGTAAGCTTGCTTTACAATTTACCTTTTTGTGGAGCGGGTCCGGTGTCACCCCGTGCGGTAGGTGTCACCTGCTGCGGTGCGCACCCCCCACACCTGCCTAGGGACGCCCCTGTTCAAGTGTTCATCCATTTTGAATCAATTAAAACTTTGTGAAGTGAGGGCTTTCATAAAAAAAACTTTATATTACCAATTTGTATTCAACCAGGCAGACCCTGAGGCTTGGTTCACATCAATGCATTTTGCATTGTATCAATTTTGCAGTGCTTTTTACAGTGTATTTTGCATTATTGCCACTTTTCTGCCACATTTTTTGCAACTTTTTTTGTTCGTTTTTTTTGTTAAAGGGGAAATGTTTTTGTTACTGCGCATGCGCAAACACCACCCCCCCGCAAAATGTAACAAAAACGTAGCAATATTGCACCACACACATTTCAGCAGTGTGTTCATTGAACTCTATTGTAGCAAAAATGCTGCTTTTTGCTCTGAAAAAAGTCCCTGACCCTTTCCAAAAATGCAGCAACTTAGAGTATAGTAGATGTGAACGTGTCCCATAGGAAACCATGTTAAATGGACTGTAGTGCATTTCTGCAAAAAGCACTAAAAACCGCATTGGTGTGAACCAGGGGTGGACTGACAACTCATGGGGCCCCCGGGCAATAGGGGATCATGGGGACCCTGTGTCCTTGCCCACACTCAAAAAAGCCTATAAAAAGGTACATGGGGCATTTCAAGGGGCCCCCTACTTACCCTGGGCCCTCAGGCAGTGCCTGAGTGTTTGAATGGTCAGTCCGCCCCTGGATGGGACCCTTATTTTTTAATATATTTATAAACTATATAGGGTCTGGGATTATAAATCCCATTTCAGTCTTTGCAGATGACACCAAGCTGTGCAGTGGAATAACGTCCTTACAGGATGTCTCCAATTTACAAGCTGACCTCAATGCACTGTGTAATTGGGCAACTATGTGGCAAATGAGGTTTAATATTGATAAATGTAAGGCTCCCGAGTGCTTGAATGGTCAGTCTGCTCCTGGTGTGAACCAAGCCTAAAGAAAATTGTACAATCAGTTTGCAAAGTGTATAGTTGGAAGATTGTAAAGAGATTGTACAATGATAATGTGTGTGGTTTGACCTTTGGGAAGTACTGAATCCTTAGCAGCATACACAAGTGCTTCAACAGAACAAATAGAGCCCAGCTACATTTATTCTCATTACGTGGAGAGATTTACTACTCTGCTTACATTAAATATTCCACAGTCACACATCACGCCATGGAAAGCTGAAATATCGTGTCCTTATGCAAGCTGTCATTCCTTTTGCTTCTGAAATCTCTGTTACCACATTGCAGGGTCCGTCTCTGCTCCTCTTCTGCCGAGCGGCAATATGTTCTGCTCGCTGTCCTATACCAAACAGTGTGAGATGCTTCATTTGCATATCACTCAACACCTGCTGCTATCACCCAAATGAATAAAAGGTGTGGGTGCCAGCTGCTATATTTTACCCGTTCATAGGAAATATGGTGAGAAATCACAACTATTCATATATGGTGTAATATGAAAAATTCCGCTAAGCATTCGGTGTCTTCTGCGTTCAGAAAATTACTTTACAGAGCGCATGGTCGAGGTAATCTGTGAAAGCACTATAGTTCTGAAAACTGCCAGCGAAAAATCACCTCTTTTCCCTCGGCTACATTGTGTTGTTCTTGTCTAAAAACGTGGTGAATGTACTGAACAAGGAATTTTATTTGGTTTTTATACAAATGTTGCTGTTTATTTCTGTAAGGAACAAGGGAGATGGCATATGTATTGTATATGTCAACTGTGGGGTCCCCTACTATAAATCCTAACTGTCCAACTGCGAATTTTGGGTGTACCTGCTACCTTTGTGTGTTCCAGTACCTCATGCCCTCCCAGTATATGAAATAAATTCAACAGGGATAGCAGAAATCCTTTATCATCTATGTCCTAGCTAGGCCAATATCATGCTTGGGATTCTGTCACTGGCGAGAACTCAAATTTAAAGTGGCTGTAAACCTCTGATATTATAAATGAATAAAGCATATCCCTCTATTATGTGTACTAGCCTCAATCCAAAACACTTGAAGTGTCTCATCTCTCATTCCTTTGCTATCTTCATTAGTCATTTCTGACAGGTTGTGCTGACTCCAGGGGATAGGGACAGGAGCTTCAGCACACAGCCTGTGATTGACAGCCTCAGCTGTGCATGTTTCCCTATGAGGTTGTGAAGAGGGGGGTTTGTCCATTCTCTACACTCAGTTCTCAGATTACACTCAGTTCCCTGTTCTGTGCAGTGTTTGACATCAGGTTCCCTCCCCCTGCCTCCGGAAGCTGAGAAATACTGTTCCCGTGCTCCGTGCTCTCTGGAAACAAAGGTCTCGCTGCCTGTGCCTGGTCAAAGCAGAGGGGGCAGGGCTTGTTGTCAAGGTAACCCACCGGCAAGACTGGGGTTGCTTGGTGATGGGATAGCGTCCTGCCAGCCCCCCCCCCCTTCTCTCTCTCTCTCCCCCTCACTCTGCTGCAATGCTATAAAAGGTCCTGTGCTGCAAACAGACCTCACAGCCACTCCTTCCAAGACATGTGAACTTCGGAAGACCCCTGTCTTGCATGTCTTTGCTACTGAGACCCCTAGCTGTCCACTGCTGAATGGCAAATCACTTAACCCTTATCGTGCCAGAGCTCTGCCATCCCTGCTGTATGCCCAGTCCTGTGCTATGAACCTAGCCCTTCTCCTGCCGGAGATCTGTATCTTTGCTGTGTGCCAAGCCCTGTGTTACAGACTTACCCCTTAGCCTGCAAGAGTCCTGCTATCCCTGGTGTATGCCCAGCCCTGTGCTACAGACTTGACCCTTCCCCTACCAGAGCTGTGCCATTCTTACTGTGTTCCCAGCCATGTCTTATAGACTTAACCCTTTTCCTGCCACAGTTCTGTTATCCCTGCTGTGTGCCCAGCCCAGTGCTATGGACTTAACCCTTCACCTGTAAAAGTTCTGCCATCCTTGCTGTATGCCCAGCCCTGTGTTATGGACTTAACCCTTACCGTGCCAGAGGTCTGCTATGCCTGCTGTGTGTCCTGCCCTGTGTTACAGACTTAACCCTTATCTTGCAAGAGACCTGCTATCCATGCTGTGTACCCAGCCCTGTGCTACGGCATGAC